TAAATACGAGGTAAATGTTTCGTTGTATTGCGATTAAAACATCTTCTATGTTTCCTTTGAAAGCCCTAAAAAGAAAAGGCGACGGCATATTTGGACAAAGCAATGGCTGAGCAAACGTGGCTACTACGGTCTGCCAATTTTACAGAAAGAACTCCATTTCTCTAGCACTGCCGCCATGCTTCTATGTTTACATTTGAGAGGAAGAAGAAAAAGAAGAATCCTTGTTAGCGCATGCGCCCTGTTCAATTTGCCCAGGACGGTTGGGAGAAAATGAAACGTTTCATTTTCTCCCAGCCTTACGATTTCTGATCATGAGGTGGTCGTCAGAGGCTGATCACCCCTCGTTACCCCCTCTACACCACACAATGCACGATCAGGCTGAAAGTCGGCCCGAACTGGAAAATTCTTGCAAGACTGGAAAGTTGGCCCGAAAAGGGCAAAAAAATAATAATAATAATAATAAAAATAAATAAATAAACGACATGTTAGCCCAGCTCTAGGTTTGGATTGCCATGGCAATTGTGAAGGTTAATTCTGTATTTTTTTTTTTATATATCAAAACCCTGTTCATTTAAATCTACTTTGACCCCTGAGCAGCAGTAACAAAGGGGGAAATAAAAAAAATAAGTTAGAAAGAATGTTTTTCTACTTTTTTTTTTTTTATTAATGAAGATTTCATTGATCTGTGTGTAATGTATAATTCATAGTAGATCAGGAAGTGTTTGATTTGGGATGGAAACCTTATATGTCTAAAACCATTCTATTATTGTATGTTTTATTAGCTTGTCTCTCTGCTATATTAACCAATATGATGTGTTGAATTAGATCTGTTATTTCCACAACTTTTGTGAGACACTTTTTCATAAAGTAGGGCATTAGTTCATAGGAAAGTTTATTTGAATTCTATAAATCTAAATCTTCTGCCGAACAGCTATAGAAAACTGCGGCAGCATTCTGTACACAGCAATTTGTAGTATGAAGGCTAGAGCTGTCAGTCTGGTAAAGACTATTAAATACTGTAAAGGTTCACTTTTTTTGCAACATAAACCAGCCTAAAACTAGACTATAGAGACTTTTAAGTTTTAGTTTACTAAAAATACCACATATCGTAATGACTAAAATGCGACTAAAAGTAATGATAGTTTTCGTCCTTAAGACTAAATCTAAGATGGTTGTCAAATACATCGCTGGGTGCAAATACTCATTTTTGTGCTAAAGAAACAGACTAAACTTTCCAACCAAGCACATAAAACAGACATGATTTTCTTCCAGGCTGTGTGTGTGTGTTTGTGTGTGTGTGTCGTGTCTCCTGACCTCCAGGGAGCGGTCGTGTCTGAAACCCCAGACGCATGCTGCTACAGAAACGGGCGACACGAAGAAGAGAGGCATAAAGACGAGCAGCCAGAAGTATTTCCCCTTCTCCACGCGGTCGCAGACCAACACCTCAAACATCAGCAGAAGGACGTGGAGCCCCACCGCTATCAGCATGGCTTTGAACTCCACGCATGTCTCCCCTTCAGCCCTACAGGAGCACACACAAAATAAATCATTTCTATTAGAATAAATATGCAGATATTTATACCATCACTGAAGTCAAAGGGAAAAATTTTTTCCTAATACATGAAATATTACTTCAATATTAAATACTTCAAAAATCACGTAGAACAACTTTTTAATTTCGAGTATCTGCAGTAAACCACCTGTATAACTTGTAACTATTTAACTGAATACAGACTTTTACAGGAATGGATGTTTATCAGCTACTTTTTCTTTTACTGTAATCCCTATAAGAGAAAACATCGATATCCATGAGTGTATGTGAGCTTCTACCTGTACTGAGGGTTGTGTGCCCACACTCCAGTGCCCACTGAGGCCCCAATGATCACCAACAGTTTCCACAGCCATATTGGGGTGAACACGGCCCAGTAGCTCCACTGAATGACGCCATCCAGCCTCAAGGAGAGCAACACGGAGAACAGCAGCAGGCAGGAGTAGATCAGGAACTTACTGCAACAACGACCACAGAAACATGAATGAGTGGAATCAGAGGACTGTTAGAATATTTTTTATTTATGTATGTTGTTTTCACACACTAGTAATACCTAGCTGTTGGGTTTAAGGCTTATTTTTTCACCAAGCAGTTAAAGGTATAGTGGAGGATTTTCATCAACTTTTAGAAAAGACCTCTCAACTTATGAAAAAATGTAAAATGCACAACCCTGTACCTGCTCCTGTGGGGTTTATACAGGAAGGATGAACTCTAATATAATGCTGTTTTAATGCTCTTAGAAATAATTTTAATGCCATCCAATTTGCATTTTCCCATTCTCTAGCTTTTTCTGTGCCTCCAGCTTCTGTTCGGAACATATGGCTTTAGGATCAACCAGGAGCAGTTCCACGCAAACACGTGGAACCAGTTAAATCTGATATATTTGACAAAATTTTTCTTATTTTTTATAAAGCATTTTAAATGCCATGATAATCACATATAATGAATTTTAATGCCAAATAAGGCCTTAATTTAAAAAAAAATTATAATTTAATGACTTTTAATGACCCACAGAAACCCTGTCCTGAGAGGGAATGCCTATTAAACACATGCGAGAGCATGCAAGAGCCCATTTTTCCTCCTGCATGCTCTGTATAAAAGTTAATGCATGCTTCGCTCCTACAAGCTTAATTTCCTAAAAGAAGATTTGAGATTTATCCACTATGTCAGACTCAACACCGATAAGTAAAAATGGGGGAGAACACGTAGGATGATCCACCAGGAAAAAGAACATCCTCCACTATGCCGTTAAATTTCTTGTCAGTGTGCATCTGGATTGTCCCTGAGTCTGTCTAGTCTAGCCAGTCCTGTCTCCTCATGATGTGATGATGAAGCAATACAATGATGTAGCAGAGCGTGACTTTGCAGATGTATAATGATTAGGGATGGGACGATTTATGAAAACCGTCAGAATCGTTCGGTTCGACTGTCTCGGTTCGGTTCGCGTGTGTTTCGTTCGGTTCATGCGCTGCTCCTTTTTCTCATAGGGGAAGCGTTTACACTCCAGAGCAGAAGGTGGCGGTGCTGCGACCAAAGCCAACCACCAGTAGTAAACAAGAAGAAGAAGAAGCGGAGCAGCTTAGCCTGGTTATAGCAGGGGCCAAAAGTCAGTTGTTGTGGAGAATTGTGTC